AGGTGGTTATTAGGATGACACCAATGGCAGTGACCCTTCTGCTCTTAAAATAGTCAGGAAATGAATGGAAGTGATGGGATAGGGATAGTATCCACTGAACTACGTTGGTTGATTTGTGGTCAACTTTCCGTTTTGGAACATGTTTGAACCGAGCGGCCCAGGTCCCTTGATGGCGACTTGCAACGTCTGCTGACGGAGGTGGATAATACAGCCATAGGAATTGTGCGCAAACCCCAAAACGTGACAATGAGAAGAAACACGTATTTGGGCTAGGGCTAGGAAAAGAATCGAAAGGAATTAATGAATTCTATAAATAAATGGTTCTGATTTGATAGGGACTTTTGAAACCAGGTCTTTGTGCTTCCCAGGACGGAATGAATTTCGCTCCATCGCTCGATGGCTATAGATAGCCTATCGCTACAATGGGGACCCAAGAGAACCTACAGACAGAGACTTGGGGCCAGTCAGCCTGAGGGAATGGTAGCTCAGTCCACTGCTTTTTCACCGTCCCCATGGTAGTTTGCTTGTGACCAAGTGGGAAGTGGGAGATGGTGACCAACAGTCTGTCAGATCTGTCAGCTTCAGCATTCCAGCATGGTTCCGTCCACTGATGCCAGGAGGAATCGTGGCAGTTTCTGTTGCGCCTATCGAGTTCCCTCTCAGCCGGAGGGGTCACTGGAATGCAATTCATGGTCTGGAAAAAGGTGCTAAATTTGGAAGGCACAATGTATAGTATATGGATGTATATGGTTCAAAATTGTGGTGTGTTCTGCAGCCTGATTTTTTCGGCCCTGTAATTTGGAGCGCTCGTCACATGGATTGTTGATAAGTAGTTGCTCAAGGTGCGTCCTAGCGCGACCACCTGCGAAGTGTAGTAGTTTTTGGGCACCACTTCGGGTGTAGATGTTCAGAGTATAACAAGGTCAGACACCCCACCTGGAGATGGTTCCAACAAAGGTAGTCAAGTGTTGAAACTATGCCGATCCTGCCTTGTTGTATCAAAACTAAACTTTTAAAGTGGAGGTTTCCAATCCATGGGGGTACCCCAAAATCATCCAGCTATTTGTTTGGGATTTTTCATTAACCATCCAGCTATTGGGTACTGTACCACCATTTATCGTGGCTGTCGCCTTACCGAGGCTTCAAACTTTGCGCTCCTGATGATGTTGTCTCTGGTGCCATGTGTTGGCGTTAAGGAGGGTCGGGTCGGATTGGGACAAAGAACCCCAAAGAACCCCAAAGAACCTGCGATTGTAATAAGATCATGTGTATATCAGACACTATGTATATTATATAATATACATTATGTAATATAGTATATAGAATCATTAGTACTTCCTGTACATATATATATATACATATTTCATATTTACATGTCCATGACATCCCATATGGTACTGTTGACGGGACCCATTGTGTGGCTTCAACAAAGTCAAAGCAGCTCAGCAATCTCAAAGACATTTGTTTGCCAGCTCTCCGAAGTCCAGCAAAGATAATCATGGGAATGCTTGTTGGTCCATAAAGTGAGTCATCCCCAAATAGTTACATAGTTATATACAGATAGTTATACGAAAGGTCATATTAGTGAACCATGATGGTTTTTATCCATGTTGGACAGTTTAGAACCAGTATATTATCCAATGTTGAACCTATATCGAGAAAATCATTGAACATCAGTGAGTTGTTTCTTCTTGTGTCTTTCACAGGTTCTTCGTTCCTGGTGTTTTCGTTCAGCCGCAAGGTGCAGAGTCCCCAAATGATCCTGGAGACACAAGGAGCCGGCAACAAAACTCTGCGGTGTTCCAATCAAGGTTGGGACATTTCAGCAACATGATTCTTCAAAATCGGGATATATTATCAGCTAGTTAAATGATAGTCATGGTTGGGAAGTGTGTTTAGCTGGAGAGACGGGGATGTATTACGCGTGAAAATTGAGACTGGTCTTTTAATCCCATCTAATTGAGACGTTTTTTTTGTCACATCTAATTGCAGTACATGCTATTTGCATTTGTTGACTAGCTGTAACAATGATCCCAATCCTGACAATGGCATTGGTTGTTTCACCCCAGAAAGCAGTCATGAACTTCAACCGTCCTTTTTTTTCTGGTGAGCAATTGATCTTACTCAGCAGTAGCAAATCCCCAGTTTCAACACATTTCCAGTTTTAACTTTTAATTGGATTTATTAATATGACTGTAATGGCAGTCTTAGATTCCTGTGAATCCCTTCCCTCCAATACAACAGGTAAAAATCGCGTGACCGGGGAAACTTTCGACAAAAATGCCAGGAATGCATGAACTCTTGGTGGAGAAGCTAACAGATCGTCAAGACCCGGAGGCAATGGTGCCGTCTCTTTCAGCGCGGCAGGATGATCTTAAAGAACTGTTTTTCTCAGAAGGGAGGATCATGGGGGGTGAAGGCGCACACATCTTATTTTCAATGACTGCCATCCCAAATTTGTTTACCACCTTGATAGAATGTACGATTGTTATCCATTGCTTACGACTCATATTCTGGATATTCTAATGGGTCTTGGGATCGAAAGTCGAGGTCATATGCACGGGTTGCACTCCTATACACAGCCAAAAAGTCCCAAAAGACAGGTCAAGAAAAGGATCTTGCAAGTCAAATCACCATGTATTATTACATGATCAATTACTGTATTACATCTTACCACGATCAACACTATTACAAATATCAATCAATAATATATACTGTATATATGGAGGTTTCCATAGATTGAGGATACCCCCAAAATGGATGGTTTATCATGGAAAATCCTATTACAAAGCATGATTTGGTGGTATCCTCATTTTATATCATTTTATGGAAATATGGAAACCCTCATATATGTATATTAAACGTATACTATATTATACACCAGCCATCAACAGTCGCCCATCTGTCACCAGTTGCGCGGCATGGCTGCCAAGCAGCTGCTGGAGCTCTACCGAGAAACACAGCAGCTAGGGGGTGCCACGGCCGAAAATCCACCCATTGTTTGTGCGTAGATCAACTATTTAACTATGGCCATGTTCAATAGCGAACTGTTAGTTTACCAGAGGGTATATGACTCATATGACATATTTTGTCATGTCTTCATGGAATAATGGAGACAGGACGGTATATCATTTTACATTGAACAATTGGCCTTGAAACACATTTGACATATGATTGTTGTTTGAGATAGGTTATTCTTCTCTTCTATACTATACTATACTATACTGTATTACTGTACTGTACCTGGTTGATTGCTCTCAAACAATCGAGCATTCATTGGTCCATAGTCAGTTGGCCACTCCAAATGTAAACTCGTGGCAAATTTCTGGGCGAGGAGATTTCCATAGACCGCAAAGGTCTGCCAGCGACCCAACAAGATGAATCATTGAAACTGATTTGGATGAGGTAAAACTAAGATCAGCAAACAACTAGACAGGTGGATTCATATTTTAATTATTACTTCCTGCATACGCATCTAGCAAGCTTGAGATCCACATGATTCCGCCGAACTTGCTGCATCTTCGGGAACCTGGCACCGATCCTGCCTGTTCTAAAGGTGAAAAATTGGGAGCAGAATTATCAGCCATTTGCCACATGGGTGTTCTCAATACCAATCATGTGTCCATATTGGGTGCTGCTTTTCCCAATGCTGGGCATTCATGCCGCCAAGTTTCGCTTGTAAATCGATTCTAATGCCTTGCTGGCAAACACCTCATGTAAAGTTCGTTTTTCGTGCTAAAAACAACTCTATGACTTGTTGGTGAAGTCGCGATTCTCGCTGAATTCATGGAAATGTGCTTGTTGCTTCTTCCTGTGTGTCGTCGGGGATACTGCTACACCATTCGTTACTGCCATGTTTCATCATGTTTCCATGTCTAACCCCAGGAGTTTGAGTTTTTTTTTCCAGCAGGTGCTGATGCTGACTTGCTGGGTCGTGCTGTAGCCTCCAGTGCCATGGAGGCGGCTGGGAACATGTGAGGACGTGGTCATTGTTGATGGGTATACATACATGAACATACATGTAAATAAATGGGCTAACGCCCTGGTGCCGCCGACCCCCATTTGGAGGGCCATGGTTATCCGATGTTATGCGATGTTATCCTACATGTTTCCATATTTGTCATGTTTGTCCATGATTTTCACCGGTAAAGGCTCACAGCGGGGTTTTGTGTCCTGATGGACCGTGCTTCACGCAGGTTTTGACACCCTCTAAATGGAGTAAGGCGACATGGCCAGGCGCTGGCAAAGGGCTGCCGCTGCAGGGCAACGTGTTCGCGGTGACCCTTCAGTGGCAAGGCGGCAAAGGCCCACAGAGGGGTTTTGTGTCGTGATGGGCCGTGCTTCGCGCACGTTTTGACACCCTCTAAATGGAGTATGGCGACATGGCCAGGCGCTGGCAAAGGGCTGCCGCTGCAGGGCAACGTGTTCGCGGTGACCTGGGAGAGCAGTGGCAAAGCGGTAAAGGCCCACAGAGGGGTTTTGTGTCGTGATGGGCCGTGCTTCGCGCACGTTTTGAAACCCTCTAAATGGAGTATGGCGACCTGGCCAGGTGCTGGCAAAGGACTGCCGCTGCGGGGCAACGTGTTGGGCAGTGGCAAAGCGGTAAAGGCCCACAGAGGGGTTTTGTGTCGTGATGGGCCGTGCTTCGCGCACGTTTTGAAACCCTCTAAATGGAGTATGGCGACATGGCCAGGCGCTGGCAAAGGACTGCCGCTGCAGGGCAATGTGTTCGCGGTGACCTGGGAAGGCAGTGGCAAAGCGGTAAAGGCCCACAGAGGAGTTTTGTGTCCTGATGGGCCGTGCCTCGCGCACGTTTTGAAACCCTCTAAATGGAGTATGGCGACTGGCCAGGCGCTGGCAAAGGACTGTCGCTGCAGGGCGCACAGTGAATGGCTCACTCTGTCCAGAGTGAATGGCCAATGGCTCACTTTAGGTGCAGCGAGGCGGTCATCCACCGCTGGGTCTAAAAGCAAAAGAGTTCAATGCCAAAGCATTCAAACTCACAACATCGCATCATCGCTCATCTTGAGCACAGTGTCCAAGGCTTCGCCAAAGGAACTGATGGTGTATTCCTTCTTACTCTTGTTCTCACAAATCATTCGCTGAAATCCAATGAGGAGTGCGAACTTCAAACTCTCATCCGCCATCTTGAGTTCTTCAATCTTCTCACTAATGCCTTCACAGCAGAAGAACTTGCCGGCAATGTGGCGCATCTTGACCTCTGGCGAACCTGCCGTGGATTGCTCAAGGTATTTCACGATCTCGGATGCCTTCTGCGGTGAAGTCTTCACAAGGTCAGTCATATACTTCAGCAATGTCTGCTGGACACCTACGGTGTCCAATGAAGCCATGAACCCTTGGACAACATCTTCAATCTTCTTCACCACAGGCACTATCTTCACATCATTGCTGACCTTGGAGGCACAAGCACTCAAGGACTTCTTGGAATGCTCAACCTTCGCCTTTGTCTTCTCAAGGCGCTGAACCGGAATTCCGCCTCCACGAAGCACCAGAAGGATTTTCAAGGTAATCTTGCTCTCTCCCTGTGCCACATCAGCCACAGTCTCATCATCTCTCAAGAGGCGACTGCCACAACCAAGGCGAAAGGCAGAAGGAGGGAATGCTTCTTGTCCGTCCTCTGTCATGGTCGCGAATTTCTGAACCATCCAGTCTTTGAGGTCAAAAACCGAAATTGTCTGGTCATACAAATTCAAGTCCAACAGGTGCTCACAGGTGTGCTTGTTCAACACAATGTGAAGCGGGGTGATGAAATCCGTTTCGTCTTCAAGGTAGTCCTTGCTGAGCAAACGGCACTCCCAAGGCTCATCAGGAATGTTGATGTAGTCCGTGATGTTCAGTGCGAATTCTTCCTCGTCAGAAGCCTCACTGGAAGCGTCCTTTGAGTTCAAGATGAGTTCAATGCTTTCAAAGATGCGCCGGTAGTCCTTTCCAAGGGCATAGCGGTTGATGGAAGACTTCACATAGACAAGCCACGGGTCGCCGGTTGCCACAAACTTTTCGTCCCAAGTCGTCTCATCGCAACCATCAGGAATTTGAGCCTCGGCATAGGCTTTCACCATCTCAAGTTGGTTGCGATTGAGCCGATGCCACAAGCACCCGTGCTTGTAGAGGCTGAAGACAATTGGAAGACCTGACTTGTAATTGCCATCGCTCCACACAATGTCAAAGTCGTTGTATTTTTGCCAGAAGTCTGCCATGTCTCCAAACAAATCAACCCCCGCGGTCTTGGCATGTTCAATCATTGGTGAGTAGCCAGAGGATGGCGGTTCTTGCTCAACTTCATCATCAGAACCGCTTTCATCGGAAGAAGCCGAACTGTTGAGGCAGTATGTGATGTGCTTGAAGCGGAGCATGTAGCGAGGGAAAAGCACTGTCTTACAGTGCTTTCTGTCATCTTCGCTTCTCAAACACTCTTCTCTGGTGAGTTCTTGCTCACTACGGCAATTATCATCCATGTCAGCAACATAGGTGTAAAAAATGGCATTCTCCTTGTGCTGGTTTTTCACAGGTGGTGTGCCAAAGACCAACTGGAAGAGTTCCTTGCCAAGTCGTGCCACAGTCCATGAACCATCCAAAGTGAATTTCATGACATCACGGTCTCCAACATGAACATCAACTTCGCGCAAGAAGTTGCGAGACATGGCTTCCACAGCAAAAGGGCAGTCTGGCAAAAAAACTCTTTGAGCAAAAATATATTCACAGCATTTGCTTATCAGTTGTTCTCATGTTTTGGATGAAATCTTTTTGAAGGCTTCAATGGTGCTACACGCCATGACTTCCAACGGCAACTGCTGGGCAACTTCACACGGTGAGGCTCTCGGCTTGGCAAAAGCACTCCCTGACCCAAGCGCACCTTCTTTTTGTTGGTGAGGATGAAGTCAAAGCATTCGGGGCAGACGGTTGAAAAAGAAAATGGAAAAATATAAACATATATAATGAGGAAGGTGTTATTAGAATTATTCAGTGGCACTGGTTCAGTAGGTAAAGTCGCCGAATTATTAGGTTATAGCGTTGTCTCTCTGGATTTAAAGGATGCTAAAATTACAACCGATATTTTAGAATGGGACTACACTAAATTAGACCCTGATGAAATAGACATAATATGGGCTTCCCCTCCGTGTATTGAATATAGCATAGCCAAAACAACGGGGGTTAGGAAAATAGACTACGCGAATCGCATCGTGAAAAAAACGCTGGAGATAATCAATTACTTCAAACCTAAATACTGGTTCATTGAAAATCCCCAAACTGGATTGTTGAAGTCTCAAGAGTTTATGTCAAATTTAGGTTTTGTTGATGTTGATTCTTGTAAATACGGTTTTAACTATCGGAAGCGGACGCGTATATGGAATAATTTAAATGGACTATGGAAACCCAGACCCTTATGTAAAAAAGACTGTGGTAAAATGATTGGAAATAAACATTTAGAAACTGCGCAACGCCTACCATCGGGTAAGAAAAATGACTGGGGCACTAATCCTATCAAACATAGTCAAAGGGATTTATATAAAATTCCATCAACCTTGATATATGAAATATTTAATACTATATCATAGTCTATCTATTTATCTGTCTTTCTATCTATCTATCTATTTATCTATCTAACTACCCCAATCTAAAAACACCAGAACCACCACCACAGCCAAGACCCTTGAGCATCTGACCTCGCGCACGGGCGGGGATGGATGAATACATATTATTTCCTACCTACTGACCCATGCCCGTTTTCCATCCCATGTATCATATCCCGAAAAATCATTAGTAAGCCACCTCATCTTGAATATCATTTATTGGGTTTCTTGTTGATAAATTGGCGGCATAAGATTTGGGGTGTTAGATATTTGGAAAACGGGCGAGGGGTATTCTAACTATAATATATCACATATCATATATCATATATCATTCATCATATATCATATATCATATATCATATTTAGTATAATTTAATTTAATATAATATAATATAATATGATATGATATGATATAATGTAAAATACATATATATATGCATACATTAATATACACATTGTTTTTGTTTTCCAAGTTATTATGATTGTTTTTTGTTGATGGGATTATGCTGAACATGATCATGTCAACGGCAGTATTTTTGTTGGGACAGAGCATGGATATGTTTTTTGTTTTTAAACCTGTAGACTGTAGACCATTGTGGACTAATGCAGACAATATACTCGCTTACTGTACATCGTGTATCGTTTTCTGTAGACCAGTTTTTTTCGGATATGTGTTTTATACATGTCACATGATGATATAGCATGGTGATATGCTTCATCTTGCAAACTACCAGTGCTGCAGTATCAAGCACGACATAAAATACTGACTCATTCAGCATTTTTGTGCGCCATTGGAGCTTGGCTGGATGTCAACATGCTTACACCTCGAGCTCTACGTCATATTCTGGTTGGTGGTTTGGAACATTTTTTGTTTTTCCATATATTGGGAACCATCATCCCAACTGACTCTAATATTTTTCAGAGGTATACCACCAACCAGTATTTGATATGGTGCCATTTGACCGTAGAATCTACGGTACCCCATCAACCAATGAGTTGGCGCAGGCACTCTCGCTGCAAGAGGCGAAATTGCAAACTGTGACGGCAGGCCATGGAGGGATCATCCAGGATTTTTTCAACGGCCAATCCAGAGTGATTCATGGTACCCTCTGGTTATGACTAACATAGCCATGGAAAATCAATAAAAATCACCATTTTTAATAAGTAAAACCATCTATAAATGGGCCATTTCCCATGGCTATGTTAAATAACCTGCGAACTCCGATGCACTATGCTTACCTCTATAAAAAGTTCACAATCGACAGTACATCGCAATTGGAAGCATTTGGATAATCTGTGATAAGCTATATATGATAATCTACAGCGACCTTGAACACTCCGAGCACACGGCGTGGTCAATAAATATCACAAAATGGGGTGAAGCATCAAACATGACAGCAAATCAAATATCTTTCAGAACGTGTGATATGATGTTTGCATTCAAAGATACCCGTATATGATTTATAGTATGATATATATAGTTCATAATATCTGGTTGGTGGTTTTGAACATTTTTCCATCTATTGGGAATCATCATCCCAACTGACGAACTCATATTTTTCAGAGGGGTAGGGCTCAATCACCAACCAGATGGTTATTAATGGTTATATATATATATTATATATATATATATGGTTATTAATAATGGTTAATGGTGGTTCATGGCTAGTTGATGGTTATTGCAATATCATGCTCCCCCTAACATTTAATGCTCCCGCAACATTCTTTGGCAAACTGAAAAATGGCCCAGCAACTGATCACCTGAAGGCAACTCCCGTATGAAATGACCCGAAAAAGCTACCAGGTAGCTATAAAATACTAAAAATTTAAGGTGAGAAACTATGGTTCCAAGTAAAGGTAAGCGTATTTCACTCCCGTGTTACAAATGGAGCCTATGAAATACGGTAGACACTTGACAACCCAATGTTGCCAGGTTGCCAAGAGGCCTCCGGGCGGCACAACTTTGATCCTCGGCGTGGACTAGCGTCTAGCAGAGCCGGGGTGTGTTGCTACTCTTTCGGTATACATGGCCGGCATTGGCTGGCTGGAAAATCTTCAAACTAAATATGCTGGGAAAAATTGTTGAACCTGTTTTTTTTCAGCAAAGCCATGTTTAATTACTGGAGGGTAGCCAAACAAACCCGCCAGAAGTCGTGATTTAATGAATGAATTAACGATGGCTAAGGATGGATGGATGGATGGATGGATGGATGGATGGATGGATGACAGTTTTATCGTAAGACTTCGGGACGAACAGATGTTGGGTATTTTTCGCGTTGAACATGTTTTAAGTTGGAATCAATTGCATCCGGATTTTTTGCTGCTTCACTATGCATGATGAGGCATGGCATGTGTTCTTTTTGTAACAAATTCAATAACTTAACTTACCTACATTTGCTTATTTTGCTTGGTTCTCAAGCAGGGGTTTGAACTTGAAAATCCCAGCCCTTTGTTGGTGAAAAACCAGCAACGTCCCCAGGTGTCTCAACTTGAGAAGGCTCTGACTTTGACCACAGAGAGCGGGGTGCCAAACGGGTGACACGACATTTTTTTGGAAACGATGCATTTTTGGTATGCCCAAAAATGGGAAGTAACTCCCATCAAAAATGGCCAGTTTGTTCTTTGGCAAAATGAAACATGTTTTTTTTTGGTGTCTACCATGAGATTTTGCAATCCACTGGGCTTGGGTGGGACCACATTCGGATTCAGATTCCTGGAATGAATCAGCCAGTGACGTGACACCGGCCCTAATATCAGTAGCCATATGGTGGCATCTCCATTTTGGGATTCCAGATCCTTACTGTATTCATATTATGATATATCATGTATATATAGAGTATATATATATATATAAATAATATTATCTTATTTGGCTAGCTGACAAGGGTCTGCATGCTACTGCTCAAGTGCTCAATTCAATTTAGAGAAAGTCTTGGCAGTTATAACTAAACCATGATGCGCACGCCCCTTGCGCAGCTTGCCCCCGCCGTGACACGTGTGCGAACACAGTGGAAAGGGACACTACTGCCACAGACTCATGCGAAAAACGGATGGCGGAATCTGGATCTGAAGTTAGGAAAGTTGTCGTATATTCTCACATGCGGCGAATTTTGCCTGATTGGGCAATCCCTCTAATATTGGGAATTCCCTGGGGAGGTTGAAACTATCAGTGTGTGTTTTGGGCCATTGACAACCCATAGAGGAATGCTGCCCTGCTGGGCGTCGCCAGTGCTGGCGTTGCCGGAGGACTGTCGTTTGTTTCCTGTGACAAACCTTGGAAACAGACCTTGGGTTCTCCCGTGGACAGCAACCTGGAATTACTGAGACGCTAATGTTTTGATTTTACAGCAAACAGTAGCCCCCAAAAGATAGAAAACGTGTTGTTTTATCACTGTTTGAGTATATTTAGTGGGACTTTACTGTTCTATCTTTTTGCGGGTTGCTACATGCTGGTATCTATCTAAAATATTCATGAATCTTTGAAGTTTTGGGTTTGTCTGAAAATCATTGAAAATAGGGCTGCTCGTTGTTTTCTATTCCCCACTGAGAATAGCCTCTTTCTGGGCGGCTCCTCAGTAAATCCAAGGCAACCTGAAGGTGCCCCATGACAAGGATCTCAAGATCATTGGCTTGGAGGAATTGCGCAGCCACAACAACATGGAAGATGGATTGTGGGTGTCCTACCATGGTCACGTTAACTCAGCTTGGATTCAGGAACATGTTGATGCTGCAATAATGCCGTCTTTGGGGCGAGTGCCATGAGTTTTTTGTTTACCTTTTTTTTGCAGCATATACAGCTGTATATATGTATATACTTGACCTAGCTGCCTAGTTATAGTTGGTTAATTATGTTTTTGTGATTCAACCCCTTGGTGTTCCACGAGGGTTTTTTGCTATCAACTACAGCACAATCGTCCATCAATGACGCTTTCCTCTTGAGGGGACTGATTTGATCCACTATGACTCTGACATAAACCATACATACCAGGAAAATCATGTCAAGAACACCCAGGTTCAGAGGGTTAAATGCCTCAAGTTTGTGTTACTCATGTTATTTCCCTTGTAACCAACCCGCAATAGTTGTTGAGCTTCAGCAACAAACTTGGCGTTCGGCCCCCAGGTTTACGATGTGACTAACTTCGCCAAGATTCATCCTGGTGGTCCCGGACGCATTCAAATGGCTGCTGGCAGCGATCTGCAAAAATATTTTGACGTAGCTCGTGCTGTGGGATCATGGGATGACCGAGAAGTATCGGAATGATGTTGCAGCAATATACATTGTTTCTTTTGACATTCATGCTATACAATGCTATACATTGCTAGACTACTAATCTACTATATCTTTCGGTCATGTTCTGTCGTTGTTAGAGATGTTTTTCCAACGGCATCTTCCCCCTTTCCCCATGAAAAAGGTCTATCACGTCCATCCTGACGTCTCGAAATTTCTGGACCGCACCTGTCTCCTCGGTCGGCTCACGGCGGCGGATGCCAAGCGATCCTATGAGGCAGGGGTTGCAGGAAAACCAAATCCATTGAACTCTTATTTTGTTCCTGAAATCTATTTAATTCTATTATACATTTAGTGACATGTATATAATTTTATATAGACGTTATTGGACCATGTTCCTAAATTCATTAGCAAAAACAGTTTGGGGGTCTTAGAACCATGTTGCTTTGTTTCTCTAAATGTTCCTTTAAACCAATCCACTCATATCCACTTAATGTAGCAATGGCAGGGAGCAACAAGTAACTAAGTAGTTGAGCGGTTTGAGGGTTGAGATGGAACGTCATCCCAAAAAATGGCCGGTGATTGCGTGCTGGTGAAATGTCTAGATTATGTACAGAACCAATATATATATATATGTGTGTGTGTGTTCCGGCGTATTCCGAAAGACTATTTCAAATTCAGAATCAAGAGAAGTCTTTGCAACATTGATTTCGATGTTTTGAACCTTGACAGGCGTGAGAATCAGAGAACAAACTATGACTATCCAAGTAATTTATTCGGCAAATTCAAGCTGGTACAACTAGATTCCCATTCTCAGAAATATTCTTTGGCAATATGGAATGAGTCGAACTTTCCGCTTATGACTTATCATAGATCTACTGCGCTGTTCTTGGTGAGATGACATGAGTTTTCATCCTTTCTTTTTTTGGGGAGCCAAAGGCTGGTTGCAAAGGGGTATGATAGACCATTGTGGAGTACAAAAGCAGTACAGTTGGAAGTGATGATGCAAAGTCACTCCTTTCAGCTCAACAAATAAGTTATACAGTTCACTGATGGTTACTATATCCTCAGAAGAAGCCGGGTCTGTGCCTACCCCACCTTTGACTAGGACTTGCCCATTTAGGATGTGGATGGGTGTTGCCTTTTTCAAATTCCAGATGTAGTTTGGTGGGAACAATGTGAGTTGTTGTTTTGTTTTTTTTTCTGGAGCTTCAGGGCAGTCTTGGGAAGTGAATAGTATGTCAAGAGGTGAATGTCAGGTGAAGTCTCTGTGAACGGCCTAATTATCCCTAGTGCTCCAAATACCATGTCAGCAGGTGTTTGAACCCAAGAAACTACAAAATTATTCCTAGAAGGTGTTTGGAGCAGTAGTGTGTATATCGAAGGAGCTATTTATATAATGTGTCTTTGAAAATTATCAGAACACGATGCATTGGTGAATCATCATTTTGCCCTAAAAAAAAAACGAGTTTTTGTTGCAGGGGTGTACCATGGTGTACCCATTTGCAGCCAGGAGACCATTTTTGCCAACCCATATGAGAACGAGCCGGCCAGAAATCTGCAGCAGACCATTGCAACAGCACCCCGCTGGGCGAATCTCATGGGAAAATACCTCCTGGAGTCCTTCAGAACTCCCATCCCAGGTGGGTTTTTGTGGAGATTCCGTCAGTGCCCATTTTTTCAGGATTCCCAGGGAATTTCAGGGACCAACTTAAAGACTTCCCATCAACTTCTGACTGGTGCAGGCTTCTATGTGAGGAATCACTTTCCAGTCCCTAGCTGGGAGGATGTCGAAGAAGAGTACGAGTTTGAGGTTCTGACCGCTTCAGGCACACCTGGAATTGTCTGAAAAGTGTGGAAAAGAAAACTGCAAAATGTGCAATCCCCAACATTTTCCGAGACATTCCCAGGTTTGTCTCTGGACATGACCGCCCCATTGTGAAGCATAATTCAGATCCCAACTAATTGTCACTGAAGTCGCTGGCTAGTTATAGCACGGCATGAGATGAACCGCAGTCATTGATGAAATTAATAATTAATGAAGAATATGTATGAATATGGCATGTTGAGAAGTATATGGTACATTAATGTACATTATACAACACATTGAGTTGATCTATTTTGATCCCTGTTGAGTCTTTCCCTTTTCAACACTCCAGCTTGGGACCACCATTTTTTAGATAATTCTGTGGAATTCTAGATTTGAAAACAAAGCCTGTGCATACCATTTTGTAGAGGTAGTGTTTGCAACTTACGTCAAATATCAGCTATCAGTGTCAAGAGTCATAATGTTCATCAGCCAGTACTTGTAGCAGATAGCAAGTTGCAGAAAGCCAGAAGCAGTAAGTACAAGTAGGGCACAAACCAGTTTTACTTTCGAACTCACATTCATCATCATAAATATAAAAATATAGTAGAACATGAAAACGTTTTAATATCAGGGTGCAGCATAATAGCCTTTTTATTCCCCACATCTTTGTGTGGGGTTCTTGTTTTTGATTCTGTATCCCGGGCTTCTCCTTCTCCTCCTCCTCCTCCCGCCGCCTCCGTCACAACATACAACATACATACAATAACATACAATAACTTCCATGCAATAACTTCAACATACAATAACTTCAATACAACACACACACATACATACAATAACATACAATACATACACAAACTTAACACACACACACACACACCACAACAACAACAACAACAACAACAACAACAACAACAACAACAACCACAACCACAACAACCACAACAACCACAACAACACACAACAACACACAACAACACACACACTCACACACACAACAACACACAACAACACACAACAACACACACACACACACAACACACAACAACACACACACACCCACACACGCACGCACGCACGCACGCCACGCCGCGTTACTTCTGCGTGGCAGGCGTGGCACTTGGTGACATCCACCTTGATTTCACGTGGCAGGCGTGGCACAACCTCACATCTACCGTCGTTTTGCGTGGCAGGCGTGGGACAGATGGCACTGGGTGGCGCGCTTGGACTGGTTTAGGCGCCGCCGTGACGCCCGTGACGCCGCGCCACTTCTGCGTGGCAGGCGTGGCACTTGGTGACATCCACCTTTTGATTTCACGTGGCAGGCGTGGCACAACCTCACATCTACCGTCGTTTTGCGTGGCAGGCGTGGGAAAGATGGGTGGCGCGCTTGGACTGGTTTAGGCGCCGCCGTGACGCCCGTGACGCCGCGCCACTTCTGCGTGGCAGCCGTGGCACTTGGTGACATCCACCTTGATTTCACGTGGCAGGCGTGGCACAACCTCACATCTACCGTCGTTTTGCGTGGCAGGCGTGGGAAAGATGGCACTGGGTGGCGCGCTTGGACTGGTTTAGGCGCCGCCGTGACGCCCGTGACGCCGCGCCACTTCTGCGTGGCAGGCGTGGCACTTGGTGACATCCACCTTGATTTCACGTGGCAGGCGTGGCACAACCTCACATCTACCGTCGTTTTGCGTGGCAGGCATGGGACAGATGGCACTGGGTGGCGCCCTTGGGCCGGGTTTAGGCGCCGCCGTGACGCCCGTGACGCCGCGCCACTTCTGCGTGGCAGGCGTGGCACTTGGTGACATCCACCTTGATTTCACGTGGCAGGCGTGGCACAACCTCACATCTACCGTCGTTTTGCGTGGCAGGCGTGGGACAGATGGCCCTGGGTGGCGCCCTTGGGCCGGGTTTAGGCGCGCGAGACGCCCGTGACGCCGCGCCACTTCTGCGTGGCAGGCGTGGCACTTGGTGACATCCACCTTCGTTTCACGTGGCAGGCGTGGCACAACCTCACATCTAACCTCACATCTACCGTCGTTTTGCGTGGCACGCGTGGCACTTATGGCACTGGGTGGCGCGCTTGGACTTGGTTTAGGCGCGCGTGACGCCCGTGACGCCGCGCCACTTCTGCGTGGCAGGCGTGGCACTTGGTGACATCCACCTTGATTTCACGTGGCAGGCGTGGCACAACCTCACATCTACCGTCGTTTTGCGTGGCAGGCGTGGGACAGATGGCACTGGGTGGCGCCCTTGGCCCGGGTTTAGGCGCCGCCGTGACGCCCGTGACGCCGCGTTACTTCTGCGTGGCAGGCGTGGCACTTGGTGACAGCCACCTTGATTTCACGTGGCAGGCGTGGCACAAACTCACATCTACCGTCGTTTTGCGTGGCAGGCGTGGGACAGATGGCACTGGGTGGCGCGCTTGGACCGGCTTGGGCGCCTGTGACGCCGCGGCACTTTGCGTGGCAGGCGTGGCACAAACTTACACGTAGTGTCGTTTTGCGTGGCAGGCGTGGCACAAAACCTCATATCTACCGTCGTTTTGCGTGGTAGGCGTGGGACAGATGGCACTGGGTGGCGCGCTTGGACCGGCTTGGGCGCCTGTGACGCCGCGTTACTTCTGCGTGGCAGGCGTGTCACTTGGTGACATCCACCTTGATTTCACGTGGCAGGCGTGGCACAAACTCACATCTACTGTCGGTTTGCGAAGATGCGGTCCTTGCTCGTGGTCGAGAGGCACAACTCAACTGCAAGAATGTGACCAGGTGTCTATGCTTGAACGGGATTAACATTGGCCTGCTCGCAACGAGGAAAAGTCGGCGCACTGCAGTTGCATTTGTCATGCATACATACATACATACATACATACCGTTTTACCTTCTCGATCTTTCACCACCTCCTTTGTCTTTCCTTCCTTCTCCGACCCCGCTACAACCTTTGAAACTCATTCTTGGAAGAAGTTGACTTGTGGGGTTATCCGGTCCTTTAATTGCTTGATGGGGATCCCATGGGTATACGTCGGCGACCGGCTTATTTGCACAGGCGGCAAAAGCTTCAAATTGAAGGATCTCCGTCCATTGCCGCAGATCACGGTTGAGGCCACCATGATTTGCGGAGGCGCCGCGCTCTATCCCCGGTACCTACATCGAACCGACCAACGGGAGACCTGGGAGAAAGAGGAATTTCCTCGCAACGACTCTTGGCCGAAGTGCCGAAGGGACCGAAGTGGATGTTCCTGTGCCTCATGCCTAGAGCGGCTTTCGGCAAGGGGTATTGAAGATAGATTTAACAAAGCGATTTTAATTCCCCACATCTTTGTGTGGGGTTCTTGTTTTTGATTCTGTATCCCGGGCGCCGCCTCCTCCTCCCGCCGCCTCCCTTACACTTACCATACAAAACTTAACATACAATACTTTTACATACAATTACTTCACACACACAAACTTAACACACACAAACTTAATATACAATAACTTCACACACACTCTCACACACACACCTTTGTCACATACCATCTCTCACATCACACACACACACACCTTTGTCACATACCATCTCTCACATCACAACTTTGTCACACCCCATCTCTCACATACCATAACTTCACACACACACTCATACTTAACTCACACTTACCATAATTTCTCACACTTAACATACGATAACTTCACAGACACAAACTGAACACACACAAACTTCACACACACAACCTTCACACACACACACACAAACTTAACATACAATAATTTCACACACCCAAACTTCACACAAACTGGCAGGCGTGGCACTTGGTGACATCTACCTTCGTTTCACGTGGCAGGCGTGGCACAAACTCGCATCCACCTTGGTTTCGCGTGGCAGGCGTCGCACTCATGGCATTGGGTGGCGCGCTTGGGTGTGGTTTGGGCGCACGTGACGCCGCGGCATTTTGCGTGGCAGGCGTGGCACAACCTTACATCCACCTTCGTTTCACGTGGCAGGCGTGGCACAAACTCGCATCCACCTTGGTTTCGCGTGGCAGGCGTGGCACTCATGGCATTGGGTGGCGCGCTTGGGTGTGGTTTGGGCGCGCGTGACGCCGCGCCATTTTGCGTGGCAGGCGTGGCACAACCTTACATCCACCTTCGTTTCACGTGGCAGGCGTGGCACAAACTGGCATCTACTTCGTTTTCTGTGGCAGGCGTGGCACTCATGGCATTGGGTGGCGCACTTGGGTGGGGTTTGGGCGCGCGTGAGCCGCGCCATTTTGCGTGGCTGGCGTGGCACAACCTTGCATCCACCTTCGTTTCACGTGGCAGGCGTGCCATTTTGCGTGGCAGGCGTGGCACAACCTTACATCCACCATGGCACAAACTCGCATCCACCTTGGTTTCGCGTGGCAGGCGTGGCACTCATGGCATTGGGTGGCGCGCTTGAGTGTGGTTTGGGCGCGCGTGACGCCGCGCCATTTTGCGTGGCAGGCGTGGCACAACCTTACATCCACCTTCGTTTCACGTGGCAGGCGTGGCACAAACTCGCATCTACCTTCGTTTTCCGTGGCACAGACTCGCATCCACCTTGGTTTCGCGTGGCAGGCGTGGCACTCATGGCATTGGGTGGCGCGCTTGGGTGTGGTTTGGGCGCGCGTGATGCCGCGCCATTTTGTGTGGCAGGCGTGGCACAACCTTACATCCACCTTCGTTTCACGTGGCAGGCGTGGCACAAACTCGCATCCACCTTGGTTTCGCGTGGCAGGCGTCGCACTCATGGCATTGGGTGGCGCGCTTGGGTGTGGTTTGGGCGCGCGTGACGCCGCGGCATTTTGCGTGGCAGGCGTGGCACAACCTTACATCCACCTTCGTTTCACGTGGCAGGCGTGGCTCAAACTCGCATCCACCTTGGTTTCTGCTTGCGAGCCAAGCCCATGGAGCCGAGAAATACAGACAGCAATAGAGATGTCCTGTTTTCTTCCACAGAAGATAGCCAGCAAAAAGCACACATCACTTTCACACACACCATCTTTCACGCGCAACTTTGTCACACACATACACATACATACATTCATACATACATACGTACGTACATACATACATACATATACATACATACGTACATGCATACTATCTTTACACATACTTTCACACACAGTCTTTCACCACCTCCTTTGTCTTTCCTTCCTTCCCCGTCCCCGCTAGAACTTTTGAAGCTCATTATTGGAAGAAGTTGACTTGTGAGGTTATCCGGTCCTTTAATTTTTAACTACGCAAGTTATCAAATGTTATTAAATTTATCAAATACATATTTGTTGCATGTGCTTGGGAACAATGGCCAGCCGCTGATAAGGGCAGAAGAGGAATAATTCCAACAAAAATTGGGACCATAGAGGATGTAATAAACTGAAGCGTGCAGACCCTGAAAGACCACTTTGAATCACGACATATGCCGCCCCAAAGGACGCACCAGCCACCAAGATGCAGAATGGAACAAACCAGAGACCAGTAGCTAACCTTGGCTCCGGGGTGGAACGGTGGACATGTAATCATAAGCATAGCAAAATATGAGATAGAACGTCATCGCATGATAGAACTTACTGGTGAACAGATGGCGGTAATTGAGGGTGTCTGTGGGGGGCACTCCCTTCTGCACAGCACAGGAAATCAACAACAACTTTTGGGGCAGCCACGCTGTGTGGACCGGCGTCAAGTGTCGCGACGTGCTACGCACTTGCGGCGTGGACGTGGATGGCATTGCGCTGGGGGAAAAGCCCTTGCCGGCGAAATATTTACGTCGCCAGATCTTTGCTGGTGTTTTTTTTTGTGAATGGTGGTTTCCTAAAATAGAGGTACCCCCAAATCATCCAAAATTAGACCATCTTAGTATTGAAACCCATGGTGTTGGGGTACCCAATTCTTAGGAAACCTCCATATGATATATTATGATATCATGATATCATATGATTTTAATTTCTCTGCATTTGGAGATATAAAAAGAAACATTTAAAAACAGTGATCAGAGAATCAACCCAGACAAAATGCGGCACGGTATTGGGTGTGATAGGCATTTAAATCAGAAATGTAGAGATATGAGGCAACAACACATGGTACGTTTCAACTACAATTTGGCAAAGTAGGTCGGTGGTTTTTTCAGTCGTACACTTTGTTCTCCGAGCGTCTTGGGAACATGATTCACAGTAATTATTTTGATTTTTTGGACAATGTGCAGCCATTAACCAGAAGGGTTACTGATTTTGTTTGCCAGCATTTTTTGAGGTTAGCTGGCAGCAGTTGGAAAATTACATGTACCCTCCCAATGAATTGATGTCTACCGCTGATTCCCTCATTGCTGAGGGGCCTGATGATTCATCATCCTATCTATCCTGCCACCATGTTTGCCTTTCAAGGTTTGACTGGGCACGATGCAGATGAAACGGGTTCCAACTTTGGTGTTACGATCCCCTTGGAGAGACTCGGTACCTCGAGTCACCTGATGACTTCACGCTGATGGATGAAGGTTAACATGTTGAAACCATTTGAAACCAATAAACATATAAAATGTGAGGATCAATGCGTGACTCATTCGGTTCGTGAGAGAATCGTATTTGATTTAATATTATCCTCATCAGGCTCTCAAAGGTTGATCAACATTGAGGATTGCCCTCCCTCAAACGTGCAAGGGAAGGGTGCAAAAGTCTTAACACTGCTATTTGCTGGGTCAGACTTGAGCTTTGCGCCCAGCAGAAATGCACTGGATAGCCATGTTTCATTATTTTCAGGTTGGTGCTGAAATGCGTAAGATCTGCAAGTAGGAACATATACCAGTAAATCTTACTGTAAAACTTGCTGGAAATTGCCAGCTAGAACTCTTAAACTTACGTAAGCATGCTTACTTCCATGCTGTTGAACATGCCAGACAATGCAATATAATATAATATAATATAATATGATATGATATGATATGATATAATATGATATGATATAATATGATATGATTTAATATAATATGATATAATATGATATAATATGATATAATATGAAATAATATGAAATAATAAAATATGATATAATATAATATAATATAATGTAATATATACGTATAATATATGAAATTGGGTGTCTGATTTTTTAATCCATCCCTACTTGGGTTCTTGAAACATGTTGTCGGTGAATTCCTGTGAATCCCCCTGCGGGTTCTGAGGAAAGCCATTGATCCCTTCGGTGATGTGATCTTGGCCATGACCATGAACGGTGAAGCTCTGCCGGCGGACCACGGATTCCCGGTGCGGGTCCTGGTGCCTGGCTTTGCTGGGGTGCGGAACTGCAAGTGGCTGGCGAAGATGGAACTGGTGGATGACTTGCAGCTGGGGTGGTTTAGTCATGGAATGGTGTTGGAACCGTGGTTTAATCATGAAAATGGGATGATTGGGATGTGAATTCACCATCAACATATAGTGATACCGTAGATGGACGAATTATTCAAACCCTTGTAATCCAATAACCCCCCGCACCCCCAATTACAATGTTGTTTTTTTGGTTTGGTTCGCTCCTTCGAATGGACGAAATAAATCAAACCCTAAGATCAGGAACAAAGTTCCGAAACCATAACGTTGAAATTTGGGGGGACAGGGGGTAGCCTACAACTCATGGATGCGGGGTTTGAATAATTTGTCCATCTACTGTATCATTGAGATATGACACGCTTTGTAACCAACTAACATTGGTTGGAAATAGTTTGGTGAAGTTTGGTACATGTTATGACATGTTATGACATTATTTATACTTATTTATGTTCCGCCCAACGGTTATGGGATGATGAGTCATATTCAGGGGTTGACTCCACCAGCAACGAGGCATGAAAGTCATGTGGACACTCACACGGATGAGGCACCGGAGGGCATAGCTGTTCATGGGATGAGTGCAGGGGTAAGGGGCCTCGGAGAAAGTTTTGGGATTGAAGTGGCTATTGTCAAACATGGGATATGCATTGGTTGATTTTTGTGAGGTGGCCAAATTTGAGCCACTGCCAGATGGCAATCGATGGCAGTACTTAGACCAATTTGACCGGTCTTTGTTCGGCATGGAGGTGAGGTCAGATGGGCCTGTGTGTAAAGGATATACTTAAAACATCTTAACACATATTTTCAAAAATCTTGAAAAGATGCACTCAGCAGTGTCTCATCATGTTCAGATCACTTGGAACCCTCGCAATGCAAAGAAACCATTTTTGCCTTGAGAAAGTTGGTATGGAAAGTCTCGGTTTAAAGCTTCAACAATTTCTGCAGACCCCCGAGCCACTGGCCATGCTGGGCAGTCTGATACAGTCTGGCCATTCCTCTTGTTTCACACCATCTCACACCAGGTGATCTACCCTCCGGACATGAACTTCGAAGATGATTTGGCCAAAGTTTCCCTGACGGGTGGATCTGTGCAGAGGGCTGGCAGATGGGAAGCGAAGCAGGACAATTCCATCTTCCGGGTCATGGAGATGCCGGTGCACAGCAGTGTGCCCCGGTGATGTTCAAAGCTGGAGATATGATATCCTCTAAGAGGGGAAAAAGGTTGATATATGGTGAAGATCATGCAAACAAAGGATATGATACTTGGGCGTGTCTGAAATTGGGTGGTATGCTCCACATGTTGTTGCAATTTTGAAGGGAAGACTAGGTGTTAGTATGTGCTATACTTTTTAACCAGTAATTTTATAGGCTTTTCCAGCAATTTTAGACTAACCTGTTTGAACCTCACTGTGAACCTCAAGAGAAATGACGGGGAACATAAGGGCCCAGTTGTGTACCACTGTCAGCAACATACAGCAACTGCCGCTTCAATGGCCTCATACCAGACCTGTTAAACATGTTCAGCCAACAATCATCCCTCTTGTGTTCTTCCGATGTCTCGGAAAAATGGGATAATACGGTAAACATCGGTAAACCTCATTTTCACCATATTTTCCCATATTTTTACATAGCAGCCTCTTGGGTCAAACTCCTCCCCCACCCAAGGTGATTGTGCCGGAGCTGCATCAGACCTTGCGCGGCGCGCAGCTGGCGCAGGTCCTGGCCGAGGGCCTCGAGGTTCGAGGCATTGCCCTGGGTGGCGGCGGACACCGCGTGGCGCGTGTGGACGTCTCCATCGATGGCGGAAAAAGCTTCACTCCGGCGGAGCTGGATGATCATGGCATGGAGAAGGTGTTGGGGAACTGGGGGAGGATGATGATGATTATATGTGGGTTTCCAGATTCCATAAATATTGGATTCCCAAAATGATTGGTTTATAATATGGAAAATCCTATAAAAATGGATGATTTGGAATGATTTGGGGGTACCTCTATTTCAGGAAACTTCCATATATATATACTGCTATATGGTGTTATAACAATTAGCAACACGGGATGATGATTATTATAGTGGTATATAATAGACTGTGTTGCAAACTGTCTTGACCATTATTAGTGTTGATGTGGTTTTGGTTACTGTGTGGTTGTGGTTACAATGGTGATGATGACGGAATAGAGAAGGTTGGCAGGGATGAGGATATATAATGGAATGACCAAGAGAAAACTGTTTCAGAAAACCATTTTTTCTTTACCTTAAAAAATATTGGTTTCCTTTTGCCACGAGCGTCACATTTCCCACAAGCATCCCAAAAAAGAGTTTCGCCCGACTTTGTTGTTGCCCTGTGTGGTTCTTTCTTTCACGCCTTGACCATCGGTGACCCTGAAGTATCCCTTAAGTTAAGATTGGTGTGAACAGTCAGAACAGTCCAATAGATCCATTACGAACCGTTTCCTAAGTTCCAAGATCCTTCCTAACGGCCATTCTAATAGGGAAAATGTGGGAAGACAATGATTGACCAATGGATGATATGGATGTGGATGTAGGGTACCCTATCTGCAGAGAGATTTATTTTTTTCCTCCATCCTTACCTGTCGCCACTTCAGGTCCACAAGCGAAACTATCATTGGTCCTGGCACCTTGTTATCTAATTTTGAAGCTATAGGTCAAAATCGGGGTACCTTTATGATTCTACGGACCTACTGTAAATAGATTTTAGGTGAACCAACTCATGTGAACCCTGTAGGATTCTCTACAGATAGTTATGTCCAGCGTGGCATTATTGTCAAGCCCAGCTCAAGATACATACATACTCTAGATGATATTTGATGCTAAGATTTCAAAGTTTATCCCATTTTGATGCGCCAAATATGTTCAGCATTTTACGACGGTTATGCAGTTATTGCACCATCCACGTCACCTCCAAATCAGCAGAGGAGGCGCATCCTGGTCATGGGGATTCCACGCCCCGTTTTGGTGGCCTTCCCCAAAAAAGGTTGGGTTTCTTGAGGGCGAATCTTCACCAGAATTAGAATGTACAGGTTAAATTCCCATCATCATTCGCATGCATTTGCACATCTATACGTCCTTTTACCATCATTCACCAGCAATCAGCATCTTCTTCCCGTTCACATCTTCCAAGTCACCACGTCTCGCGTGTCGCAGTGCTGATGCCAGCCACCGTTTTCCCAGGTATTTCTGGTCCAAGAAAGTGCCCTTGACCCCTGAGATGAAGAAACAGCTGCAGAGCGGCCAAACGGTGGAGCTCAAGGTGGCGTCCCGCGCGATGACGGAGCATGGTAACACGCAGCCCAGTCGTGACCCGATGATGTTGCGACTGGGGATGGTGGGCAACGGTGCCGACGGTGCTGGCGTGTCTGTTTTTTTTTTGGGGGGGGGAAGGACCTGGGTTGTGAAAGTGGATGTGTTGAGCCATTCGAATGTTCAGGTTGCCATCAAGTTGGATGGAGCTATGTAATATATGGTTTGCTGGTGGATTTAGGACAATTTGGCGTGATCGGTGCCAAGACCGACTCGAGCGGGTTTTACTCCCAATCCATTGTTTTGCATTGTTTTGGGGGTTACCCTCTGGTAATTTAAGATAGCTACAGAAAATCATTATTTTCAATAGGTAAGCCATCTATAAATGGGCCATTTTCCATAGCTATGCTAGTTTACCAGAGGGTAAGCTGAGGAAGCATTGATGTTTCCTTGGTTTGGGCCCAACCTCAGCACTCATGAGGTGATGACGCGGTGTCCTTGTACAACCTCGTGGGCAATATTTGCAACTACCAGACCCACACGCCTATCACACTCCAACCAAAGTAGTAGATACGATTGGCGGGAGTGTATATAAAGTGTGGCTATTGATTGTTAGCGCTCTTTTCAAGACACTTGTACTTATTATATATAGTTTGTAAAGCAGGGGCAGAGGTATCCAGAAATTCCTGGAAAGTTCCTCACTTGTCCCAGTTCAATGATTGCTGAATGTACAGGATCAGCACACATATGCTCAGGCAACATCTTGTGTTTGTGTGTTTGTACAGCTCGCTTTACGAGCAATGCCATCGAATTTGAAATCCAAGGATAAATGCGTTTGAACCTGGTATGATCAGGTGTCGTGACGCTGGCGTTAGCACAAGTTCTCGACCATTATCATGGGGACTACACGTTGGCATGGACGTTGCGGGGCATTGTCAAAGTGGATCCAGTTGGGAATCTGTTCCATGATTTCCATGGGTCCCAAAACAATCGGTCCAGTGGTACTGCATTCCCTCCATTTTTTGATCAAAAAAAGAGAAACATCGAAGCATTGACCCGCATTGACCCGCGGTTTTCTCAGGTTGTGGGCAGCTTCGATCACAGGTTTGCTGGGCAGATTCGTTGATGAATATGATTGGTTCATGAACCCTAAATAGCAAGATGGGGGTTTCCATCATTGGGGTTTACAATGGAAAAGCCTTTTAAGATGGATGATTTGGGGGTACCCCCGTTTTAGGAGACCTCCAAACATTGTAGCACCTATTGATCCTCCTTCAAATTGGTTTAATATCATTGTATATCAGCGTAATATATAATAATATATCGAACTTGCTGATTTGAAGTAGCACTTAATTTGATGTTAATTTGATGTTAATTTGATGTTATGAGATTATGTTCATGTATCTTCTGAGTTCTCTGGTGAGACAACTGGTGAGACAATTAGCTTCTGGCTACAATTAGCTTCGTTGTGACCCAGGTTGATTCTGATTGCTTCTTGGGATGATTGATTGCTCGACCACATGTTTAAAAACTAACACCTTGTTGTTTGATTTGTTTGTTTGATTTGCTTGATCATGTAGTATGCGCATGATTTGCATATAAAATATTATAAAATCATTGTCTCCAAAACAATGGTAGTTTCACATCGCCGGTTCGATTTGGTTGTGTGATCGTTGTTTGCATACATCAGCAGTTGATAGGTGTTGCTTATACCACCTGCAGTTTATTGTGCTGGCGGTGAATTCTTTGTTTCCCTGGGTGGTATCCACATCTGTTGCCGAATGGTATAATATATATATATATATATATGGTATGTATATATATATATATTGATCAGATATGTGTACAGTATAGACCATGTTACATGTAGTACATATGTTTGTATATGTGCTGCAGCCATTTTAGCCATTTTAGTGCTTTTAGCTACCTTCGAGCTAACTGAGTGAAAAGGTGCTGAACAGTGCTCAGGAGTGTTCATCAGATTTAAGAGCCCAATTTCTCTGTTCATGGTAGCGGAGCTTAGGTTCTGATACCCAGCTGTGAATGTGTAGGTGTCGACACCGAGCTGTCTCTGCTCTGGCGCGCTCACCTCGTGCCAACTGGAAAACGTTGACACTCAAGCTCCTGAAAATCAGGAAAATCCAAAGGTACTTCCATAATCTGGGAGTGCATCTCCAAAAGTATCCAAGGGTTCTCTTGAATCAGGTCTCAAAGCACCTGAAGAACGACTAAGGATGGCTCAGCAACAGCAGCCACCTCAGCAACCAGGCACTCCACCAGCACCCCAACAAGCACAAGGCAACGGTCCCAACATGTCCCAGATGGTTATGCAGATGATGGCCCAATTGACTCAGGGTCAGGCGCAGTTGAGCCAGGCAATGACCGAGGCTATGAACCAGCAGCTTCAGATCAACAGAAATGTTGAGAGATCTGTTGAATACAAAGACAGATCAGAGTTGAAAGGCATACCAAAACCTGATAAGTTCACTGGAGCATCAGGCACTTGGGATAGTTGGTGGTACAAGTTTAAGACTTGGGTTGAAAGTTGCCACAAGAATGCTGTGAAGATTGTGGCGCAAGTTGAATCTCAGTGTGACAAAGAGATCACTGAGTCAGGCCTAGAAGTAGACTTTGATGAAGGCGCCGAGCTTGTTTCAGCTCAGGCTAGACAAGCCCTCATATCATTGACTGAGGGAGAAGCGTTGGAAATTGTCAAGAACACATCTCGTGGTAGCCACTTTGGCCTAGAAGCCATGAGACGACTGTTGTGCAAATATGATCCTCAAAATCCTCAAGCTAATTCAGCCTTGTTGAAAAAGGTTCTGCATCCAAGTCAATGCAGTCTTGATAAGCTTCGAGAAGGGCTTGAGAGTTGGGAGAACTTGAAAAGAAAGTATGAAGACAGGAGGAAGAAACCACTTGAAGACGACATCTGCAGGAGTTGTCTGCAGCAAATGTGTCCCAACAAGCTGCAAGATCATTTGGGACTTGCAGGCTTCGAGATTGACCACGTATGACCAGGTGAAAGCTGAAGTTTTGGCCTATCTCGAGAATGTCGAGACCAGGAAAGAAGCAAAATCAGGAGCCGTTCCCATGGATGTGGATTCCCTTGCTAAGGGTAAGGGAAAAGGAAAACATGACAAAGGGAAAGGCAAAGGTAAGTCCAAAGGTAAAGACAAAGGAAAGAGTCAGTCTTCGTCTTGGTCAAACAATTCATACCACAAGGGTTCTTGGAACAATCAGTCTTGGAATCAGCAGTCTTGGTATAAACAAAACACCAATGACTCCAAGAGCAAAGGGAAAGGCAAGAAAGGTCAAGACAAAGGTAAAGGTAAAGGTGATCAAGGTAAAGGTCGCAAAGTTGCCAATGTTGAGTCTGATACTTGGGCTCAAGAGCAACCTGCAGCAACTGCCACTGGTGATCAACCTGAACCTGAACTCACAGCGCTGTTCGCCTTGGAAGACGCTATGCCGCCTAAGTCCGAAGCTCAAGAGGAATCACCTCGTCGTGGTAGAAGTCCAAGGAGAGCTACACTCCAAGCACCCTCAAGGAGCACTGTGACCAGGAGCGCTATGGTTATGGCTCAAAGCGCTTTGGCATCAGCTTCTGGGTCCAACAAGGAGCTTTTCAGGAAGATGATTGCTCAGGCTGAGAGCGCTGTCAAAGATGCTCAGGACAAAGGGCTCCAAGCAAATCAGGCCCTTAAGGAACGCCAAGAAGCCCTGGACAAGTTGAAGAAAGAGGCAGCCCAGCATCAGAAAGAGGCCAAAGAGGCAATGGCCAAAGTGAGGGCAGAAGGACGAGCTGCTTCAGCACCGGCTGCACCCTCTCGTCGGTTGCAAGCCGACCTAGATGCTGGAGTACATGCAAGAGCTGCCAAGAAAGCAGAAAAGAGTAGGAAGAGAGCTGCTAGTCATCGAGCAGCCACTGCACAAGAGAGAACAGCTAGCTTCAAGAACTATGAGCTGGCAATCCATGGACAAGCCAACCCCGACAAGTGGGACAGGGAGGATATTGGAGATCTTCCTGAACCTCCCAAGGCAAGAAAGTTGGAACCCAAGCGCCATAGAGGAGGACATCACAGGTCTGAAAGACGAAGGGCAGATGAAGCTAGAAAGAAGGCCAACGAGGACAAGATGAAGGAGATGAGCAAAGAAGGAATCCCAAAATGGATTCATGACAAGTTCGAGATTTCCTCTGAAGAAACCACTGATGAGTGTGAATTTGCCAACAGACTTGAGAAGCTGAAGACCGATCCTGAAGTTCTCAGTAAGTTGGACAACGTCTTGAAGGAGGCCTATGAGAAGGTTTATGGTGAAATTCCAACATCTGAAGAGGCTGAATCAGATGAATTACCATACAATCAGGAACCTGCACCAGGCATGGAAGACGTAGTTCATCATTGGGAGACTTCCTCTCGAGAGCTCATGTCATTCAAGGAGTTGCGCGAGAAGTCCAAAACTGTTTCCAACAAAGGACATCCCTATGTGAAGTGCCAGGCATGTGGAAAGGCACTGAACTCCATGAGTCTTGCAAGCTTTTGGCAACATGTGGAGAGCAAGAATTGCTATCCTCAACACGCCCTGGAGTTTTGGAAGAAAGAACACTTTCAAGCAAAGGCTGAAAGAGAAGCAAAGGCTGAAGGAGAGGCATCCAAGAAGCGCCCCATGGATGATGCAGAGGCCAAAGGTGAGAAAAAGCGCCAAGAGATCGCCAAGGATGAAGAGAAGAAGAAGCGCAAGCAGCATCTTGAGGAGCACTATGAGCGCTTCAGGCACCAGGGTAAAGATGATTTGAAGCCTGAAGTGAAGAAGATCCCCAAGAGGCCAGAGGAGAAAGAGAAGGAGAGATCAGAGAAGGAGGACGACAAGTCATCCAGCAGGGCACCCATTGAGCTGAAGTCCATATCCCCATCGAGAGCGCCTCAGGACAGCCGGGCTGATTCAGCCCAGGCGTCCAAGGGCAAGGGGATGCTCAGCACAGGTGCCAAGAGATTCTTGGAAAAGGCAGTGCGTGAAGCTGCCAACTTTATGGAAAGAAAAGTCAGGAAGAAGAAGGAGAAGTCACCATCTCCCAAGCTCAGGGAGCACTCACCAGGAGGAGGAGTTCGATCAGACTCCAACCTTGACTTCCTGGGAAGTTTGGCATCTCCGGTGGATACCATTGTTTGGGCCACCGTTGACTCAGGGGCTGCAACCAGTTGCCTACCCAAGGAGATGGCACAGTCTTTGGAGTTGGCTATGACGCCTGTGGACGAGAAGCCGTTTACCAATGCATCAGGACAACCAGTCCAGGTGCACGGCATATGCAACCCCATGGTGACAATGGGTGAGAAAGGAGGCCCACAAGTCAAAGGTGTGGGACAGTTCCGGGCAATGGATGTGGCAAAGCCATTGCTATCTGTGTCCAAGCTGGTTGAGAAAGGCTGGACAGTGACCTTCGGCCCCAAAGGATCGTTCCTGCAAAGGGGAGCCAAGAAGGTACCAATCACAATGACTGGAGGAGTCTTCAAAGTAGCCATGGATTTTCATGGGCAGCCCATAGAAGGGTTGAAGGCGTAAGTCCTGTGGAAACCACAGAGAGCGCAGGTAGTGGAGATGATGAACCGGGCAGTAGTAAGCTAGGTTCTCAAGCACTACCAACTGCAGCAGCGCCGACGCAGAGAGAAAAAGAAGAACCTTTTGTCAGCCATTATCCTTTTAGGAGTTGGTGTGAACATTGCATTCGAGGTAAAGCAAAGGCAATGAGACATGTCAAAGTAGATCATTCAGATGAAACAGTTCCTGTGATCTCAGCTGACTATTGTTTCATGAATTCAGTGGATGACAC